TATAAATCTTTGTGTATTATCTGCCCTGTTTTATTTTTCATTTCATTTTTTGTTAAATCATTTCTTCGTCTTGCATTTAACTTCTGACATTGATATCCGATTTGCCCTCAATTAGAAGTTAATTTAAGTGAGAGCTAAAAAGTGCTATTCACCCCAATCTAGCACATTTATTTGGGACCAACAGACCTCGTTTTTCTCATTTCATTTCTGAACAAAGACCTACTTATATCCAACAAGCTTTACATTATCGGGGGCTTGAGCCACAGGCCCAAAAACTTCTCGTTTAGCTAAGGAAGCTAACTCAGCTTAGATTACTTTCTCATACTTGGGCCAATCTTGCCTTTGATGACATTCAATAATAGAACGTGGTTCATAATCATCATGTATTATCTCATAAGTGATTGAGAGTGTAAAAGCATTATCAATGATTATCTTATTTCGATCCCAAATCATTACAATATGTAATGGAAATCTTAATATTCCCAAGGTTAGTGGGCTTTTCATGGATCGTGTCTCTTTAAGGGCAATAAGCTCTTTTAGAACAACCTCAAATCAGGCTCTTCTAGAGTGATTTCTTAATTTCTCCCCTTTCATTTTCGAGGGATAATATTTTTTGATCTTATCGATCTTCCACACTTTAAAAGTGAGCCATTTTAATCCATTTCAACCTATTTTTTAGGAATAGAAATCCTAGTTGGATTATTCATAACTAGAATATAAGACTTTGTAACCTTGGCAGCATCATTAAATGTGTCAAGAAGTCTATTGGTGATTGCCTATAAATGGATTGTATGTTGCACCTCATTTTCACATTTTGGAGTTCTTAGGTTTAAATGGGATAGAGTTTTCTCATTCTAGGAGGAAATCTCAATTGGTTTATGCTTTTTAACTATGGAAGCCTTAGGTATCCCAATCGATGGAAACACTGTTTCATCAAAATGACAACCCGTGAATCTAATGGTAAAAGGATCACCCATTATTGGTTCCAAGAACCTAATAATGGATGGTGAATCAAACCTAATGTAAATGCCCAAATGGTGTTGGGGATCCATTTTAGTTCTCTTTTACGATGCTACGGGCATTTGTACAATACAACCAAAGGTGCGTAAATGTGAAATGTCATATTCATAGCCTAAAACTAACTGCGTGGGAGACTGTAAGAGACTAGTAGTGGGATACAATCTAATTAATGTTGTTGCATGCAAAACAGTATGACCTCATGCTAAATAATTAAGATTTGTTCTTAATAATATATTATGAGCTATAATTTGGATGTGCGTAATCAAGGATTCCACCAATTCGTTTCGAGTATGAACATGTGGAACTAGGTGCTTAACCTCGATTCCTAGTGAAGCACAATAAGCATCAAAGCTCTTTGATATAAATTCACTAGCATTATCCATCCTCATGCTTTTGTTTGGATAATCAAAAAAATGTTCTCGGAGCTTTATAATTTGCACAAATAAAGGTGCAAAGGTGACGTTGCGCATAGATAACAAGCAAATATAGGACCATCTTTAAAATGCATCCACTAATACCATAAAATATCGAAACAACCAATTAACTAGTTGTATTGACCTACAAATATCATTTTGGATTCTTTGCAAGAATGAAGGGGATTCAAGATTTACCTTTATAATAAAAGGTTCAGTAATGAGCCGTCCTTGTGAACAAGTTTTACAAGTATAATCTTTGCACAACAAAACCTTTTTATTCTTTAAAAAGTGTCTTTTAGTATTTTGGATTATCCTACGCATTATTATAAAGCCCAGGTGACCTAGACGATCATGCAAAGTCCAAATTCATAGAAATTTACCAGTCTTTGGGACATAGTAGTATAGGATTCAATAACTCTAATAGTGATACAATACAATCTTATAGTTGAAGCTTCCAACTTCTCATAGATGGTCTTTTGGCCCATCTTATAAGAAGTGATGTGGAGACATTCCTTATTTTGCTCATGAATTGCCTCAAGATGATACCAATTACAGTGTACATATTTGAAACTAAATACATTCCTCTTCGATCTACTGCTTAGCAATGCATCCTTGATATGCAAAGTGGTGCCATTTGGCAAAATAATTGTGGCATTTTCGGAGCCATCAATAATCTCAATGGGACTTGATATTGTATGGACATTTACCTTATGCAGTATCACACTTGGAAAAAGTGCTTGCCACGAAGTATAGTATATGTCATTGCATTATCAAGCAAACAGACTTCTTTACTTTTATTGGTGATTCCAATTTACACTTGTAGTGACAACTTCAGGTGTCAACTATAAGGATTCTCGAAGATCCACCGCTGCTTCAAGGGACGGAAAGAGACTCAAGTTCCGTTGTCAACTTCATGCTGATTGGATAGTATTCAAAATTAAAATCTAAATATTTGAATAATTAAAAAAATTTTACTTTTTTAATGTCCGTTTGGCTTGGCTTATTTTTAGCTTATCTACTGCTTAAGAGCAGAAGCTGAGTTAAACAGAATTTCGTAAAAAGTTATAAAAAAAGTAACCTTTCTTAAAGAATAAAATCTAAAATTTTTTTTTTAAAAAAGCTCCAATTAGGAGCTTTCTCTTCTCTTTTTTATTTTAAAAACACGCTACTTTATGAAAGAGAGCTATTTTTTCCCAAAAGATCCTCCCTCTCAAAAAATACTCCCCCCCTCTCTCCTTATCGATCTTCCTCTCCTCTCTCCCTTTCTATAAATCATCATTTTAAGTTTCTTTTGTTCTTACAAAAATTAAAAAAAAAAGATTGAAAATTTAAAATTGCATTCAGGTATTATTTTTTTCTTTCTATTTTGTTTTTTATTTTATTTTTATCATTTTTTGTACTTTGAAAACTCTCTTTATTAGTTGATATTTCTCAATTTATTATTTGATATGACAATTATGTGATGTTTATTTATTCTTAACTTCTTTATGGTGTATATAATATTTGATGATTATGATTGAAATAATTAATTAAATAGGTCAATGATTGTTGAGATAAATTAGATGAAAATTGAGATAACATTTGTTGATTATGGTTGTTGAGATAATATTGTTCATGAAAGTGAACTTTATTAGTAAGGACATCAATAGTTAAACGTGATTTTTCTAAATTATTATTACTAGTTTATACTTCTCTTCTTCTTTTTTGAGTTCTCCTCCATTGTTAGGGTTAAGAGTTCTAGTAGGCTTTCTTTCATCTCTCATCTCTTTATTTGATTCAATTTTTTTCTCTTAATTTTATTTATTATTATTTAATAAAAAATTATTTATGAATTATGTGCTACTTATAAATTATTTTTAAAACTCTTTTTTATGATTTATTATTAATTATAAACTTTATGTTATATAAAAATCCTTTTAATATTTTCAAAAATTTATTTTAAATAGATAAAATAATAAAATTATTTTTTTTATTTTGAACAAAGAAATTCGTGATTAATAAAAAGTTATTTATTAAATACCTTTTATGATAATTTTAATTAAAATTAAAGTTTATATAAGTTGTTTTACCAAACAACTTATCTATAAAAAAGAGTTTATAAAAATTAAATTTATCAAACAACTTTAGCTTAATTCTGAAAGCTATTATTTTTCATAAAAACTTTATAATACCTTTTAAGTTCAAAAAAGAATCAAGCCAAATATGCTCTTAGTTTGTTAGAGGCTCGGGTGGATAACGTGTTGAGAAATATAACATTAAAAGAGAATATTAAAAAAAAGTAGTAAGAATATAAGAAGATCTTTTTTTTTAATTTCAGTATATCGACCATCAATTACGATGCCTTTATTTATAGGCACACATAAGTAGAGGGGGAATGCATTTACATAAATAAGGAGAATGAATTTAGTAGATAAGAATGTACACACATTAGATGTAACCAAGAAATGGAGATGTACTAATATAAATATGTATATTAGATATGGAGAGAAACATTGAGTATTATGAAATACAGATATTCACATATTTTATAACAAAAATAATTTAAAAATTTGAGCCAAGACAAAAAAGAAAAAAAAAGAAAAAAAATTTCAAATTTTGAACTTGAAAGGATTGAACCTAGCCATTCAAAATTTAGATCAAATTCCTTACCATTTCTCTAAATCAGATTTTTTAATTTATTTAGAGATGACAAAGTTATATGTTTTAACTTTTATACATATAAAAATAAAAAAATTAAAAATTGAGAAGTGGGGACTCTTAACTCTATTATAACACTACTAAAATCCATATATTTCTCAATGTGTTATTCAAGAAAAAGTTTTCACCGAAATTTCACTAAATATTTCATAGAGTAAGCAAAGGCCCATTGACTATCCGACTAGCTAAATACCAAGCTCCAAATCTCCCGTGAGAAACAGCATGCAAAATAAGATATCTCTATTGTAATTTTAGTCCTTTTTCCTTTGAATTTTTTTTATTTCATTTGTTAGATTTTATTACAAAATGCTAGTAGTAATCACGGTTTTCTAGTATGATACTTTTTATTTCAATAATAATAAAAGATAGAACACCTTAAAGTAATAAAATTTGAGTGTTTCTTTCAACATATCTTTCTAAATTTCTCTTTTCTTTTTCAGTAATTATCCATGAAAATGTAAGCATAGATTTTTTATGAATTTAGATTCTTGATTATAATCTGTACTTTCCATTCTAAATAGACCGTTTGTATCAGAAAAAAGATTTGACCTTGAAAATGTCTACGCATCAGTATTAGAAGATCGGAAGAGCATTCACATATTTAATGCATTTAAAAATAAGTTTCGTTGTTCACGAGGCCAATATAATTTAATTTTGTTTTCTTCCTTAACAACTAAATTAGTTAAAAAATAAAAGAAAATAGTCGTGGCGATAGCCTAAACACCTCACAACCATCACGTGGCGATAGCCTAACTTCCAAACAGGCACAGTTAATAACCAAGTCCACGCTGCCTACCCAGGTTCTGTTCGGTCAGAGGCGGGTCCCAGAGAAGTTGCAAGTTTTTAGGGCCGTATGGGCCACCTAAAGCACTCCCAACTCAAAACCCCCAAACTCCATCGCAAGACAGGAAGATGCAAATGGAGAACGGATCAGGGGAATGGGGTTTTCAAGGGAAGCAGGAGGTGAACGCAGCGGCAGCCATTACCGTCCGAGGAGTTCTCAACATGTTGATGGGCAACCTCAACAAAGATGATAGCCGGCCTGTTATACCTCTTGGTCATGGCGACCCCTCTCATTTTCCAAGCTTCAGGACTAGCCCTGCAGCCGAAGATGCCATTGTTGATGCCCTACGATCGGCTAAATATAATTGCTACGCTCCAACTGTTGGTATTCTTGCTGCAAGGAGGTTTGTTTCTTATTTTGAAAATCTTTTATTGTAGTAGCATTACTTTTTCTTTTTTTTTTTTTTTGTTTCTGAGAGGGTGATTGTTTGTTAATAATTTTGTTGCATGAATTGTTTTTCTTTCTCTACGCCTTTTCTCTTTTTATTTTTCCTACTACTACATGATTAGCGGTTGGAGAGACAAGTGAGGTTAGCAGTTTATGTGCCCTATATCTCAAAAGAGGTTATTATTATGGAATCTAAAGAAAGGGAGGTTGATACTAGCGGGGCTGCTCTTCTCTCCCATTTGGGTCCTAATCTTTTAACTTTTTGCAGAAAGGAGGTCGGGTGGGTGGGGGGCACTGAAAATTGAAAAGTTGGCAGTTATTGTTGTCTTTTTGAAATTTAGTCATACTACTATGAACTTATATGACTGGTATGATATTGGGTGTAACGTGTGAGTCTCACCCTGTCATGGCAAATAGCATCCTTTTCTTATTGCTTCTCTCAAATATCCGTTACTTGAATTGTTGATTTTCAAATAGTTTGTTGAACAGCCGTACAAGCCTTAATTAAAGCTGGCATAATGTACTTAGATGGGTGAAAATAATGTACATGTACAACAATGGTAGTGTACAAGATGTTTACTTTATCATGCTCCTTTCAAAACGAGCAAAGAATTTCCCAACATATAATGGATCAATCTCATCTATGAAATGCCTGAATGTTTCTCTTGAATCATGTATCTCAAGGACTGAAAAAATTTGTAAAGGTGTTATAGAATTTTATTTCTTTATGGTCAGCTGGCGTTTTATATTTATCTAATTTTGTTTGGTTTGAATTCTAACAGGGCAATTGCGGATTACCTCAACCGTGATCTTCCATACAAATTATCACCAGATGATGTTTTTCTCACAAGCGGATGTACTCAAGCAATAGAAGTTGCATTAGCAGTTCTTTCCCGACCTGGTGCCAACATTTTACTTCCCAGACCAGGCTTCCCATTCTATGAAGCTACTGCTGCTTATAACTGTCTTGAAGTCCGTCATTTTGACCTTCTTCCTGAAAAAGGTTGGGAGGTTGATATTGATGCCATAGAGAGTCTCGCCGATGAGAATACTGTTGCTATGGTTATTATAAACCCTGGCAATCCTTGTGGAAATGTCTTCAGCTATGAACATTTAAAAAAGGTTAACACAAACCACTCTTCGTCCTTTATTATACATTTTTTATTCTAGTCTTTTCCTTAAGGCAAATAATTTAGATCTTTATGAATATGAAATTGTTATTTTTCATCCTTGAGCAATAATTCAGAAGGCTTGGGTTGTGGATTTGGTGGCCATTGGATATTTGTTTCTCAATAGTTTCTCATGACTTGTCACATGGAAAGACAATGAAGAAAAGCCTGTGCTTGTGTTTTCTTGGCAATTTGAGTGTAATTTGCTTGTATAAAAGTTTGTTGACTCTTCTGACAATAAAATAGTGGTAACTAATTTTTTTGAAAGTTAGGTTGCAGAGACAGCAAGAAAGCTTGGGATTCTGGTCATTGCTGATGAAGTTTACGACAATCTCGCATTTGGAAGCACACAATACGTGCCAATGCGAATGTTTGCTTCAACTGTTCCTGTTCTCACGCTTGGATCTATATCAAAGAAATGGATTGTTCCTGGTTGGCGCCTTGGTTGGCTTGTGACAAGTGATCCAAATGGCATTCTTCACAAATATGGGGTTGGCCTTTAATTCTTAGCTCTTTCTCTAGTTTAAGACATCTGATGGTACATTTTCTGAATTACACAAGCTATATGCATATTTGAAAGTTGAAACAAAATGAAGTTCTGACCCTGTTGTATTAATGACCTCATTGATTCTTATCAGATAATTGAGTCGATTACTGGATTCCTCAATATCTCCTCTGATCCAGCTACATTTATTCAGGTTTGGGGTTCAAGATACTTTTGTGTAGAGACACATATTTACTTTGGAAGAATACAATCTCTTTTTTGCCAAAAGCCACTAGAATATATTGTACCTGTTTAGCTTGGGGTATATACACTGTCCAATCCAAGTAGGCAAGCTAGTGTTTTATAATTTTTCTGATCACCCCGTTAAGTTTTATTTTGAAAATTTTGTTTCTGAAATTTTCCTTGTCATTGAAGACATGTAAAAATGTTTTATGCATCAGGGAGCAATTCCTCAACTTATTGAGAATACAAAGGAGGATTTTTTCTCAAAGATTATTTGCATTCTAAGGGAAGCTGCAGACATATCCTATAATATAATTAAGGAGATTCCCTGCATAACTTGCCCAAAGAAACCAGAAGGATCAATGTTTGTAATGGTAAGGGAATTATTCAACTCTTCTGATTATGCTAAAGAAATTGAAATAGCTATTTTATCTGTTGCTTTTGTTGCAGGTGAAGCCGAATCTCTCAATGTTGGAAGATGTTAATGATGATATGGAGTTTTGCCTGAAGTTAGCTAAAGAAGAATCAGTCATTATTCTACCAGGTAAGATGGAATATTCTCTATGATTTAGTTTTATGTCTTTAGTTTCCCTGATTTTTTGGGTCCATCAATAAGATATATTTTAAACCTCCTTATCTTCTTCTGGGGGGAAAAGAAGGAAAAGCAAAAATGATTCTTCTGTTTTGGTTAATTTGAAGAAGAATACACATTAATATTGAACCCAAAATATGCTCCATCCATTGCAGAAATTCTGATATAGTTAACCGAAAGATTTATGTTGTCAATACTATGCATTTAGATTTGAGTAGTTTGGTTATGATTAGCTTTCATGGACTATAAGTCACAAAATGATAGACTTCTGCAATCTACTTCCCAAATAATTCTATTAGTTAGGTGAAAACATCTTTGTGTACTTTTGAGGGAATTGATTGTGTTTTAGTAAATGCTAAGGTTGCTCCATTACCAAAAAGAGAAAATGCTAGCAGTTGCTTGTTAATTTTACCTTCTGAGACTGATAAACAAAAAATCTATCTTGCAGGTGTAGCAGTGGGATTAAAGAACTGGCTTCGCATTACTTTTGCTATTGAGTCTTCTTATCTCGAAGAAGGCCTGGCAAGGCTAAAAGCCTTTTGCCAAAGGCATGCCAAGAAGCAATAAAATAACTGGACTATGGGGTATCAACAACTGTATGTTGAATGTCATACACATTTCCGTTTGCTGGTTAACTTGCGCATTAACCAAAAAATTGTTTGCCTTAAATAATATGATCCCGTCAATAACTTGCTACTCACTCCTAGATGTGAGTACGGGGTATCGCTGATCAACAACTCCACTTTGGATCTCATCAATACAGCTCCCTCACTGCGAGAAAGTTTAAGAAGTTTCCCTTTTTTTTTTTTTTTGAAAAGTAAGTTTAAGAAGTTTCTTGTATGAAACGTCAAAAAATCTGTTCTATGTAATGAATTTGACTGATGCATTCAAGAGATTGAACGTGCTTTTGCTTAGGGACACCCATTGCTTTTCTGTTTCTTTTTTTGGGGTCTTGCTGTTTCACGCTCAAGGTTGGTCTAAACGGAAACGGCTGCTCTGGTGGTTGTTAGTCTAGGTAGAAATTTAGACAAAAAGAAGATAGTTACAGCCAAGCAGTTGTTGAAGGAAGGAAAGCAGTTTCACCCATGATCTGCATTCTTCAAGGCATGAGAAAATGGTGCTCATGAGTCATGAATAATTCCACATTGGCAGGCTGAGCAAATATCATCATCATGGTACAGCATAAGACTGTTGCAGATGGAAAAAGGCGTTTTAGAAATCAAAGCCAGAGCCACTTATGTTCAATTTGCTATTGTTTTCCTTTACTTTTCTCCTACCGTGTTTACCTTTCTAACCTTTTTTATCTTTTAGTAATAGTTCCTTACTTTGCAATTTTCAGCACTCATACCTTTTTAGCACCTTTAATTTTTAGTTCAGTTTTAGCCTAAGTAGCCTTCTTAGATGTGTGCTCCTTTCCATCGCTACTGTAAGTAGCATGGGTAATGGCTCCTTGGTTGTTTGATTAGGTACAGATTGCCAAGCTTAATTCCCAAAATCCATCGCAACAGAAGTGGCATGTCTGCTGGGACATCGTGGGAAATTATGACACCAAAGAAGAGAAATCAGTCTATAAAAAAAAAAAAAAGGAAGTTCCCCCAGAAGGTGAAGAAGTTGGGGATGGTTCAATTGAGCGTTAAAGAACAGAAGATTAGGCTAAAAGTTTCATTAGTACCGTTGCGATTACCGTTTTCTACAAGGCTTTGCTGAGAATTAAAAGAAGTGGTGGATTTATCATGGATCAAGTAGGCACTTCCATATAATCGTCTATTGAGAATGCTTTCCAAGAATATGATCATGTGTTGGCTGATTTGCTATCTATTTTGAATTTGTAATACAACACAGTTATCAAACCTTATTTCCGTGTCACCATGAGAGCTCAGGTGCAAAATCAAGTTAGTGATCAACTAGGGAGATTTAGTAGAATGCCTAGTCTAGGAAGCGAACCAGTAATGCAAGGACACTCTCAGGGTAAGGGTTGTGAATGATAATCAGTTACGACAGTTTACTCAAGCTGGCCATGTCTTAAGTTCGAGCCAAAGCCAATGCTCAAAATGTGGACGGTTAAAGTCTAGTTGATGCTAAGATAAGAAGTCTAGTTACAGGAATTAGAGGACAAAACATAGCAGCTCATGAGACAAATTCAGTCTTAAGGCAAGAGACTGTGCTCTTAGTCACAACATGTAGTTCGACAAGCTAGTTCAACTCCCCTAGGGGTTGAACCTAATGTAAGCCAAGGTGTGAAAATTAACATAGAGTTAGGTGTCTTGCCTAATTATGGATAAAAAACCTAAATTAATCAGATTAATTAGGGTTGTGGTGTTTTGCCAAATTCAGGAATCATAGATGCTCAGCGAAATTGTAGTTTGGGGGCACAACCAAATTATCATGCAATGATATAGCTAAATCAAGACTTGAGAACTCAGACAGACATAATAGTATTTGTAGGTTTTTAGCCAAATTTAAGTTAGGTAGTTTAATCAAACTAAATTAATGGAACGCAGCCAAATATTGGTTAGGGTAAATTTAATATACTTGAAAATAACCACGAATGAGATTACGTGAATCAAGCTTGTTAGCAAGTTAATGCTAACCTAAATAAGCTTGGGTGTAATAAGCTATCCTGTGTGTAAACAATTATCAGCAACCCATTATGGCCGAGTGCAACTTCCAATAGTTAGCCCCGTATAACTAGGGTTGTGTGCTAGTAGTTGGACAACCAAATTTAGACCCATGGCTAAGCGAGCGAGTGCAAAACTTGATCCAAGAACAATTTGGCCATGGGTTAAGACCTATGTTAAGACCAATACACTAAAAGCCTTATGCTAATTAGATCGATTTTGGGCATTTAATGCTTAAGGGATATGAGATTCAAGAATTTATAACTTTTTCAGGTGAATACAACCAGTCGACCATAGAACATGGAGGCAAGATCATAGTTAAATGTGGTGATGTTAATGATTATGTCAAACTTAGATTGTTTAGAAATTCTCTAATTGAAACGATATTTGATTAGTATAGAGGCTTTCCTCAAAATTCAGTCCAAAATTGGACTCAGCTTGAGTCAATGTTTCATGGACAGCTTTTTAGCATCGAGCTTGAGGTAACCATGGCAGACTTAGCCAAAACAACAACTTGGTAAAAAGGTTGAAGATTTCAGTGCAAGGTAACTAAGGTAAAGATGCATGTTCAATTGCTTTAAAGGGAATATGCAAGTATAGTTAGGAGTGGTTTAAGGATAGAGAGTTTATACACTATTTTCAACTTGCAACTTGTGTTTCTAATAATGGAGTTTTTACTTAGTAAGAACAAATAAAAAAAGAAAAGAAAAGAAACAAGCGTCGAGACCATATTATTTTTTAGTAAATAAGGCCAGTTTAGGAATATTTTGAGGATGGCTGGGAAGTAAGCTTGGAAAAATTAGCAATTAATTATGTCACATATGTGCTTTGGTTAAGCCAACCCAAATAAGAAGGGAAGGAAACTTATAGGTTAGAAAAATAATAATCAAAAGTTTGTCAATAAGCATTTCACATATGAGTAGACACAGCAGATCAGATTTTCAATTAGCTGTTAAAGTATTAGATAATAAAATTGGCTTGAAAAACATGTTTTACCAACACTATATGAATGGCATAACAAGCTTTTCATTGCTTGAAAAGTCATCAAAGAGTACGAGAGAGTAAGAGACTGGTCAGACTATCATAGATTAGGAAAAACTGTAAAGGAGGGAGAAAGGCGTATACAAGTGGCAAACAGGGACGAGAGGAACAGAAAGCGAGATTTATTGCTTTCGTCAATAACGTGAGTAGTAGAGTGCACAGGAAGGACCTTAATAACTTTTTGACTAGTTTGGGATTGTTGTAGATCTTTTTATTCCCAAACAGCCAAAAAAAAAGAGAAACAAAATATGCTTTCATCTAATATTGCTTTGAAGGTAAATTGCTGAAAGCAATAAGGTATGGCCAAAATATTGAAATGAACAGCAGGCTTCTAACAGTCAAAGAAACGGATAAGGCCAAAGATGGAAGCAAAGGAAGGAAACAAATAGTCAAAAAAAAAAAAAAAGACGGAAGAACTTATCAGAGAAAGAGGCATGCCGTCATACAAAGAAGTTGTAACCAATGGTATGAGATGAGGTAACATTTCAAAGGCAAGGAACATGGAGAAGGATGAACGCAGATACAAAGTACGGGTGAAAATTGAGGAACTTCCTAATAAGAGAAAAGAAAATAAGGGAACAAGAAATAGAAGGAGGAGCAAAGAAAGCAGGATAGGCAGAAATAACGGTAACAAGGGAGGAAAGTTAATGCAAAAAGTAAAAAAAAAAATAGAAACAACAACAAAAAAAAAAAGGATAGAAAGACTAAGAAAAAAGATAGTATGAAATCAAGAAAAAAGAAATTAAAGGGACTTTGTGGAGAAATATCAGAGGTGTTGGCTCTATTAGTTTTTAATGATAATAAAATATTTTCATTTATTTATGTCTAACTCTTCTACTTAAGTGTGCAAGACAATAATGTATGTTAAATAATTAATTACTCATTCAAAAGCAAAAATCAAAACTCATAAGAATAAGGAGCTACAATTGAGCAATGAAACAAGAAGCCTCTCAATTGGATAATCAAGGGAGTTGGTTGGATAAAACTCAAACGAGAAGTTGGCAGGTTCAAACAAACTGTGAGACAGGGAACACTCAGTCGATCAAGAGACAATGTTAGTCAACTAAGAGCTTATTGTCAAAAATTGGGTTCAGAGATAGAAACGACTTAATCGACTAAGAAGTTTTGTTAGTCGACTAAGAGCCTATTGCCAGAAACTGAGTTCAGAAACAAAGATGACTTAATTAACTAAATAGCAATGTTAGTCGACTAGGAGCATTCTATTTGAAAATTTGAATTTAAGCACTAGAAGATAGATTAACGGCTAAAACTGTCTCCAAATTGTTTTCAACGGTCAAAATCTATCTAACAGCCATCAGAGTTAATGTTTCAAGTATTAAAGGCACTTCCAACAATTATGAATCAGTTTTTGAAGGCTTCCAAGATCAAAAAGAGCTCAAAAAATAACAACTCTCTGCAGTTCACTCCAATCTTTATAATAAAGTTAAGCACTTCATCTTGTACCATTCAAATCAGGTTAGTGATCATAAGTACTCATTTATTTCTTTTCTCCTTGATTACTTAGAGTGTGCAAGACATTATAAGGGGATTGATCAAGCTTGAGTTAGCTTGATTGAGTGTATAGGTTCTAACTCAGCCTAGAAAAGTTAGTTTTGGGTTTTGGGTGATCTTGGGAAAAATCATTGTTAAAGGTTATGGCTGAGCTTATGAAAAACCATTATAAAAGCTTGGTGAAAGCTTGAGAATTTCACCGTTTATAGTGATTTGGTTTGGAAAATCCTTGGTTGAACAATCAAGGTAGTGGATATAAGTCTTTGATCGAACCACTCTAAATCTTTGTGTATTGTCTTCCTTATTTTATTTTTCATTTAATTCTTTGTTAGATTATTCCTTCATCTTGCATTTAATTTCTCTTCATTGAGCTTTAATTTGCCCCCAATTAAGCTCAAATTTAGTAAGAGCCAAAAAGTTCTATTCACCACCTCTAGCACATTTATTTGATATCAACCAGGGGTTGATTCAAGATGGATAACTATATGGAAGGAAGCATTGCTAACTATAGAGGTTAGTAGTAGCTTAAGGTTGGAATTTGAAACTAAAAGGAATAAGGTCTTGAAACAAATGGCAGAGGAAAAGGCAGAGGAAGGGAAGAAGTAGGGAGCACTAGAACAAAGAGACAAATAAGAAATTGTGTGCTGTTTTTTTATGAATCTAGTATCATAGAATATCAGAGGTTTAGGTAAGGAAAAAAAAGAGTGTTTAGGAGAGCCATAGGTAGATGTAAGTCAAATATGGTTTTT